GAATATCCAGCTTTCCTGGACTCTTCTGCCATTTAGGACTGCCTCCCAAGGGACTCTGTCACCAAGGCTCCTAAACAGGCTAAAGTCTGCCCTCCAGAAGTCCACAGTAGCAGTCTGCTGACCCCTCTCCTTACTTCTCCAAGAACTGAAAACTCTATCGTGATTGCTATGCCCAAGATGGCCTCCAACCATCACATCACTCATGGCATATAAAGATGCCATGTTTTAAATCAAGAGTGAAATCTGTAGCCAGAAGCTTGCTGGTTTTGGCTGAGACAGAGTTAATTTTCTTCACAGTCGCTCGTATGGGGATCATGTTTTGGATTTGTGCTGAAAACTGTTGATAATGCAGAGAGGTTTTGGGTATTGCTGAGGAGTGCTTACACAGAGTCAGGGCCTTTTCTGCTCCTCATCCCACCCCACCAGTGAGTAGGCTAGGGGTGCACAAGAAGTTGGAAGGTACACAGCCAGGACAGCTGACCCCAATTGACCAAAGGGATATTCTATACCATATGATGTCATGCTCAGCATATAAAGCTGGAGGAAGAAGGAGGAAGCAGGGGGTGTTCATAGTTCTGGTGTTTGTCTTCCCAAGTAATTGTTATGCATGATGAAGTCCTGCTCTCCTGGAGATGGCTGAACACCTGCCTGCTGATGAGAATTATTGAATTAATTTCCTTGTTTTGCTTTGCTTGTGTGTGCAGTTTTTGCTTACCCTATTAAACTGTCTCTATCTCAACTCATGAGTTTTCTCACTTTTACTCTTCCAATTCTCTCCCCCATCCCACTGTGAGGGGTGTGAGCGAGCAGCAGGCTGGAGCTTCGTTGCCAGCCAGGGTTGAACCACAACAAGAAGAAAAACTGGGAGGTAGGAAGTGCATGCAAGACGGCACATTTACATTTACTTTACAACCTAGTTGATGAACCATACTTAAAGTGGACTATGGCTGGAAGAATTGAAGGGAATAGTCTCTTAAAGAAGTAATTTCCATGGATGGAACATCGCTCTATAAAACAACTGCTACATCCTGAGACAACTTTTGGTAATGAACTCCAACAACATTAATGCTTAGCAGGTAAAGTACTTTGCATGTAAAGTGACAAATTATAAAAATCTGCTTCCACAAAACAGCATTTGATTAAAAGTATTTTAATATTTGTAGCCTTTAAAATATTTTCATTAATTTAAAACTATGAGCTCTCTCGACAAGAACACACTTCCTATTTGCCCCAAAACACTCTACATACATCTAGTTTCCTATATACATAATAAAGAAATGTACTAGCCTACTTGGTTATTCATCACTTGTTAAACTGGTTAAAATATAATTTATAACTGCACAGGAATAAAGGTAATGACAAGTTTTCCTTAGTCAACCATATATAACCGCACACCATATACACGTAAAGGGACAGATAACAGAATGCTACAGCAATGTGAAAATATATATATATATATATATACAAGCTCAGATTCTCACCTGTGATAAAGCGGTATGTGTATATGTATGTGTATGCACACATGCATGCTTACAGTGGATGCAGACATGATCCAAAATTAATTCTCTGTCAAGATGGACTCCGTGATTACCATAGGAACAGAGTATGTTTAAGTGCAAGATAAGAAACAACTTGATCTACAATCATTTGCAAAACTATCGCCCTCATCATAACTGAACTGAGAATGAGACTTGGCATATCTCAAGCTGTAATAAAATCAAAAGGCAACCAACTGTTTTCAGTATCCCAGAAGGTGGCTTTTAAAACCCAAGGCTTCCAACCACTAACATGCCTTACATTACTGGTCAGATTAGAAACAACCAAGGCGATGAGCAGCATTCTTCGGTCATGACTAGCTTAATACTCAGAAGTTTAAGTGAGTTCCTCCAAAAATGGGGAAAAATGGTGGGGGTGCAGTGCTAAGTATGTGGAACACTTAACACTCGTGAAGTTGTCTTGTGAAGTCACTGGAATATTCTTCCATTAAAAAAAGTTACAATCTAAGAAAAACAGATGAAAAGCAATTTCTTCTGTGGGAAAATGGAAGCTTTATAATGGAAGCAAAGAAAGATCAGTTAGGTGTTTGTGGAAGAAGAAATGGCCTGAACCCAAAACATTATCATGTCTCAAGAACATCATCAACAGACTTAGCTGTGTCATGACCTAGCTACCTTGACCAGTATTAAGGAAGGACAACTCACATGCGTTCTCACTTAAGTGACTGACACGTCATAATGATTATGAATGACATTTTGTTGGCCTACAGTATTCACCAAATCATTCGTTCCCAAAATGTGGTCATCAGTGCCATCAGTAAGATCAGTTAAGATCCAACTGATTTGTGAAGTCATATCTCTGCAATATTTTCAATTAAAGCTTGATCATAGAGCTCATCGTGAGATCTGACAGCCTGAGTGGTCTGACAATCTCTATCATCCATAGACGAGAACTGAATAAAAGACAAGTTTGACAACTATAAAAAAACCCAAACTTGTGATACTAAAAGGGGATGGTAGGCAAATAAGGGCACAGAAAAGGAACAGAAATTTTAACAAAGTTTAGCATATGTGATTTGATATTAGAAAGAAAAAAAAAAAAGATAATGGGCAAAGGACAGGAAAAAAGGGAAAATCATCCAAAACCCAGTGGTATTATAGACTACAAAGGTAGGAACATAGCCACAGCTCCAGAAGCTTATGCTTTAGGAACTGTAATGCTGTTTTGTGGTGTTACAATGACGTTTTGCTGTCAACGTATTAAGGCAAAAATGCAAAGTTTGTGGGCTTTACATCCTTTTTTCAGAAATAGTCTTGTCTCATGAGAAATACGTGAAAGAACAAGGAGATTTGTTATACAGGGTTTCAACATGAAATATGGTCACGAATATTCCTTTGTTCCATAGCTGTCAAACAGCAGTTTACCATATCAGCATTACTGTCAAAAAGGGAATATAATACAGAATAGCATAGCAGCCAGTAAAGTTTATGTAGCTAAAACACCAAAGCCAAGCACTCATACAAATAGGGACAAACAGTATTCCGTATGTACTTCACTAGTATAATTATATCTATAATGGCATTGTGGTATAAGGGTTTGTGGTATAGCAGTTTCACATTAGGGGAAAAGTAGACCATACGTACCACCCTACATCAATACAGAAAAAAAAAATTAAGCTGCATTATCATATATTTAAAATGTTACTGTGGTATTATGTTCAAAACATTAGCAAGAATTCTTAACATACGTATATTTGAACTACTTTTTCTTACACAGAAAAAACAATTTAGGCATGACTTGAAAGAAAAGATAACTCTTTCTCAAATTCTTGGTATATCAATTCTGCCCTAATAAGGTCAATGCACAGCCCAGCAGGTAAAGTATCTAGCTGCTAAATTATTTTTCAGATCCATTACCTCATGAAACTGAGGGTATAAGCAGTCCTGTAACTCTGAATGCACCATTACTCCCAATAATATTTCATTCTCCATAAACTGCTTTTTCTGGAAAGTAAAATATTTAGAATGCTATTGATCCACAGTTATTTCACCTGTGGAGACTCCTTGGTCCCTATTTTGAAGCAGAACCAATACCTCCAGTGCTGGGAGGAGCTTTATTGCACCCATGCCAAACCCAAGCCTGCCTGCGTTCTCTGAAGCAGGTTTATCTTAGAGAATTATCATGGCAGTCTGGCTTATGGAAATGATAGGAGAAAAGACATGCAACATCCCCCATCTTCAAGTATCACATAAGATGGTAATTTCAACAATAAAAGTTGTATGTATACAGCTAGAATGAGCCAGAGCTACTTAAAAGGATATCAGTTCAAGCTTAGACAGAACAACTGCTGTAGCATCACTTCTGCATAAATAAATGGGATGGGGGCAGGGCGGTGTGTGGAATTTAAAAAATCACACATAATACTTCCCTAAACGTTAATGCAAAGAAAAGTGTGTTAATTTGCTTTAAGTCCTAAAATCTTTGAGGATAAAATTAATGTAAACTTATTACATTCATGAGTGTATCACAGCCCTTATTATCGCTACGGTCTCAGCAGCAAAGAGAATTAGTTGAAGAGCTGTAAGTTGTGTGGGAGCTCATTTTAATGAGTCATGACCTGTGAACATCAGCTGACAAGCTTCCCTGGGTTGTCTTAACACACAGGCAGACAGAACAACTCTTCACAAACCACTATATTCCAGGAGATCTCAGAGACCAGATCTCTGGCTACAGCATGCCAATACAGCTTCACTGAATTTGACGCAGTTATTCCTACTGATGCAAGTCAAGTATCTGCCTCTGTCAGTCTGAATCTTCCATAGGAAACCATGCCTCATCTACTCACTCATTCCTAGCTGGTGCTTAGCAACTTGTGATACAAATCCAGGGCAAGCAGTGTATGCGTGTGCATCTGTATACACAGATCAACAGTCAAACTCTTTACAAACTCACCAGCATGAAAGACTGTGGGATATTTCCCTGCTTCATTCCATTAGAAACCACTTACTGAAGAAGTCATGGCTGCAACTCCCCCTTCTCATTAGCATTGTAAAATGTTAGTGCAATTTGTTTTCCTGTACTGGTGAATCTGCTGGCAACTGCATTTGAAACCTGCATTTTAATGTCAACGACCATGAAAAAACTCCTGCGTTAATACATGGAGGACCTATTTTAAAAATTCACAGCAGTAATTTCAGAATTCGTTTAATTAAAAAAATTCTTGAACAGTCATGATTATCTTAAAGAATCTACGTAGATCATCTTAAAGAATTCATGTAGATAAAAGTATCAATTACAGAACACTGGAGTTTATCTTTCCATTTATTTTCCTTTTTCCTAAACATTAGATGTCTAGTCTGTGTATGATTTCATCTGTTAGGCAACCAACATACTAAATTTTCCCCCAAAAGTGACAAATTACTGGACAGATGAGTCCACTATAAATTAATTATTGTAGTTTAATTACAATAATTGAAAATTTAAAGACATTTAAACTCTCTCACCTCAAGGGTAGGTGGATCATTTCTTTTTTTTCTTATCCATGCTGCAAAAGAAATAAAAATCAAATGGATTATTTCAAAGATCACAGACAGTATTAAATCTCAAAATTATGATGAATTTGTAACAGAAAATAAATGTTTATATAAAAAATTACAACAGAATTTGCCACAACCTGGCAAGCCATAATATTATTTCCCAAAATATAAAGTCTCAAGATGTTATTTCCCATGTTAATACTCTCAGTCTTGACACAAGGAAGGTAGTGGTGGTGTGATCACCTCTGTGAGGAGAGCCTGGGTACAGTTTTCACACTACTCTGGCTGCCAAAACAGGGCTTTAAGCAGGGCTCATGGCCCAGGCCTGTTGGTGAGCTTGCTATACAGAGCTGAGCTTCACCCTGAGAAGATGATGACTGCTGAGAAGTAAGAAAAGCCTTAGACCACTCTGGAGAAAAAGGATTCTTGTATATGCCTCAGGCATTGTTAAAGCCAAAGCACCTATTTAGAATCACAGAATCATAGAATGGTTCGGGTTGGAAGGGACCTTAAAGATCATCTAGTTCCAACCCCCCTGCCATGGGCAGAGAAATCCTCCACTACACCAGGTTGCCCAAAGCCTCATCCAACCTGGCCTTGAACACTGCCAGGGACGGGGCATCTACAACTTCTCTGGGCAACCTGTTCCAGTGCCTCACCACCCTCAATGTAAAAAATTTCTTCCTTATATCTAATCTAAATCTGCCCTCTTTCAGTTTGAATCCATTGCCCCTTGTCCTATCACTACACGGCCTTGGAAAAAGTCCCTCTCCAGCTTTTCTGTACCCCTTTAAGTACTGGAAAGCTGCTATAGGATCAGCCCGGAGCCTTCTCTTCTCCAGGCTGAACAGCACCAACTCTCTCAGCCTGTCTTCACAGCAGAGGTGCTCCAGCCCTCGGATCATCTTTGTGGCCCTCCTCTGGACTCGCTCCAGCAGCTCCATGTCCTTCTTATGTTGAGGACTCCAGAGCTGAACACAGTATTCCAGGTGGGGTCTCATGAGAGCTGAGTAGAGGGGCAGAATCACTTCCCTCGACCTGCTGGCCACACATTTATTTTAGTGCCAACTAGAATTCCTTTACAGGGATGCATGAAACAGCCCCAAATCCGACTGAAGGGCTGCAGAACCCTGACTGCACCATGCCGTACAGATGTGCATCACAGGGGAGGTCTTGTAACCAAGGGAAGGGTCCTTCCATCTCAGTCAATTCATGCTGGAAAAGACAGCAGGAGAATGAAAGCAGTGGCAACAACTGTCCTGTGGCTCAGGTTTTCCATGATGAAGCAAAATCAATAGACTTACGCCCACTCCCACTGCAAACACTGAAGTTTAGTGCGAGACTGACTGGAGGTAGCAACCCAAAGGGATCCCATTCCAGACAGAGAAGCGGCACTCCATCGGGTCTTGCTTCCTTCAGTCAATGAAGTATTAGAGACAGCTCCAACTCTATTACAGACATTATTTAGACAAACAAACTCCCTGCCACTGGACAAGGCACTATCCATCACTCTTTAAAAGTACCACTACTGTAGCACTTTTTCATGCTGCACAATTGTTAGGTACCAGGTTGTGCATTTGGTAGACCTTTCTGCTCGTATGTTTTGAACAAATGAGTTGCAGAATGCAAGTGGCCAGTAATGAACAGAAGGACAAACATAAGGAAAGCCAGTTCCAAGTGCCAAGATATGGCAAAATGTTCTTTTGTACGTTTGTTAGGATAATTAGGACTTTTGTTACTGTGCTTGAAAATTAGACCAAAAATCACATTTTCATTATCATGCAGTCAAATTCCTGGTCTGACCTGTAGCTGTCTATAAAGTTTCAGATATGGTTTAAGAAGGAATTATTCCAAATTTTAATTTTCTAATACCATCTGTGCTGTATTTTATGGGAAACCAGGGAATGAGTCACACAGCAAGTCCAAAACACTAAAAGCTGCACAGAGTCATGTCCCCTCAATACTGAAAATGCAATTAAACATAGAGTGAAGCACTAACATCACTCTTCTTCAGCAACATTATGAAACCGATTTCAGGAGGAATAGTTTCCAATTAACATAAGAATGGAATTAAGGGAAGAAAACCAGCATTACCTAGCTTGGAATTTAGCTATGACGGCAAGGCCAACAGCCTTAACACAGGTTAATGGTAAAATACCAGTAATGATACAAATCAAGGTATTACTTTTGGTTCTTGTCTATCAGATGACACTTTCTAAAGATGTGTTCTTTTAAATACCATTCTCAAACATCTTCAGGTAAAAGCAGTCTCTGCTGGCTCTTCTCAGAGATCTTTTGATCCTAACAAAGATTAGACCCAAATTTGCCATTGTGGAGAAGCAACTGAGGCTCAACAGTACTCATCACTCTTTCTGAAAAAGTTTTATGTTAGTGGAAAGAAAAACAGACCATCAAGACAACTCAAAATACAACAAAATCACTTTCTATTGAATCTGTAGAGCTGGAAAACGTTTTGCATCTATCTGTAGCACTTTCAAACGTTTAAATTTTATTAGGATTTCCAAATGCAAAATCTGGCAAGATTAGAGACCAGACTGGCATGAGACTGGCACTTCTCAGCTGGCAGCCTTGCAGACACTCTTTGTAAAAGGACCAACAGATTTTAGAGAAAATCATAGCACACAAGCCTTTCCTCCTGACAGAAGTCATGTTCACCCACAATCATGATGTTCCAACATGATCCATAAAAGAAAGGGGTAGAAGTATCAGGTATAGTGAAGTATGTATACTAGCCACTAAACAATAAGAGATACAGCTGGAGAAAAAAGGGAAAAGTAGTAGTTTAAAGTGTTTAGTAAAAAATTATGGTTCAAACCTTCAAAATTTAAGGGATTACTTTCAACAAACTATCATCTTCTGCCTTGCTATGCCTTGCTTCTGGTCATATGTACAGTATCACTGGTTTCAATTCCACAGCTCTCAGCACCTAAAAATGTCATCTTTTTTTTTGAAAGTGCCAGTATTTTCTTAAAATACCAGCTGTTTTAACTTCAACTGATTATAATTAGTGATTCTTAAAGAAATATTCTTAAAATTTGAAATCCTACAAAAATTAAACTCCAGTTAGAAACTACTGAAATACAACATTTACAATAGATTTACTTTCAATAGCAGATGGGGCTTTTAGGCAGTTACTTGATTAATGATTTTCAGATGAATGGAATACTTCTATTAAAAGATTTTATCATTTAATTATCTGCCTCAGTTTTAACAAGCCACAGACTGAACAGTGAAGGGTAACACAATGACACATGTCCTGTGAACAGAAGCTGTGAAGCAAGAAGTGTTACACAACACATTTTCATTCATTAATACATCTCAATTAGTACCAACACTCAAAAGCAACAAAACAATCCATAATTTAGGAAGATTTCTCGTAACAAACATTCCATTATCAGACTGTATCTATTTAAATACACAAATAACACACAAAGTTATAACATCACCTTATTTTTCTGTCCAGCTATAACAGGCATCTAAATGCACGATTTTATAGGAGCGATCAACCTTCCTTCTTTATAATAAGTGTCAGGACTACAAATCTTTTTCAGTTTAACCCTAAATAAAACTTGCTGACACAAAGACTGGATACCATTTTCCAAATTACTACATGTAAATTCATTTTAATATCTCTAATGAGTTGCAGTGGAAAGTCATTATTTAATGAAAGATTCCTTCACTGCTACGTAGCTGAGGGAGAAATACAGTAACAAAATTTACTAAAATATCTTTATAGCCATTTGATGAAGTTAGTTAGCTTTAATACATAATATTCCCTCTGTGCAAATCCATTTCTGAAATATTCTACACAAAGCACAGTTCAAGATACATTACAAGATTAAAAGCAAAGCAAATATCATCTGAATTGAGTATATTTTAGTATACTGTACTTTAGCTTCTAATAGTTTTATCAGCCTTTCAAAAGGATTAAATTTTACTAATTATTCACCTGACCACTCCTCAGTCTTTGGGAAAAAGAACTGGAGGGCACTAATATATTTGATCCCCACCAGTTTTCAGGTGGTTTCTCTTTCAGTCAGAAAAATTTTAAAAGTCTTTCAATTTTTTCTGAAGTATCAACAATATTTTAAGCATCCAACACATGGTTCAGAAAAACACCAACAACTCGTAACTCAGGAGTAAGAGAAATTCATAGTAACAATTCAAGGAAGAATGAATATATACAAAAATATAACCAGCGATTTACTACGGAGCACTAATTTTAACAAAATCCAAGTAAATATATTAAAATTAAGACATTTTGCATTCTCGTTTACAAATATAGTCAGTGTATAAAATTCAGCAATGGAAAAGCTCTCCCACCTTTCTTTGCTCCATTACACCTTTAGTCAATGCAGGTTTGTATTACTGAACAGATTTATACCACAGTTAAGTATTTGTTGATGGAAAGAAGGCAGGTAGGTGCATTATTCCATACTATTTGAACACCATATGCACACACGCATACACTTAATGAAAAAGTGTCCAGTGAACAGTTAAGCTGGAAAAGATTTCCACATAAAGACTCCTGTT